GATCCCAGGTCCTTCCCATCCCTGTCTGCAGAGGCTGTGAGCATTGAGGAAGAGGGGCCCTGAGCCAGAGCAGCAGCCAGGCTCCTTCCAGGCCCACGTCCAGCAGCTTTTCTTGCAGGGCAGGAAGGGAGGCTGATCCTCCACTGTGAGTTTGAAGAGGGAGCAGCCAGCCTTCTAAGTAGTGAGGGTCTGGGAGAGTTAGGGGAACACGGTGTATAGCATCTTTGGGTTCCTGTTGTGTATGATGACATGGAATTTCATCTCTATTTTCTTTAGGAATTCTTCAAATATTGTTCCTTTTAAAAGAAGGCTTAATAAGCTTTGGTATCTAAGTTTGTGAATGGCATTGATCACACACGTATTTGTGCTAATTCAGTTCAACGACAAGAGTTTTGCTATTTTGTAAAACAGATTGTAAGATTCCCATATTATTTTGTGATCCTGAACAAGATAACATGGCATTGGAATATGAATCTCTTGGAAATGAGAAAGAACTTTAGAATAAAATTGATGAGGTCAAGAAAAAGAGAAATAAAAGTAAAAGTTAATTCTAAAAAATATATACACACACACACACACACACATAAACGTAAAATTTACCATCTTGACCATTTTCTAAGTGTTAGAAACTTTTTGATATAAAGCAATTTCAAAATTCTGAAATAGAATATTAGAAAAAATTTTCATTTAAACAACTTTATGTATGCAGGTTGATTATAAGACATTTTTTCAACTGTACTAATTTTTGAGTTGTCCAGCCTGGTATTTTATGCTTGTGTTCAATAAATATTTGAATAAGTGAAGAAATGATAAAATATCGCTTTTCTAGTATGTCTTTTAGTAAGTTTGGCCTTCATTTCTCTAGGTGGCCATCAGACCCAAGAGCAAAGAACTCAGAGAAATGTAATAAATGTACCTGGAGAAAAACGCACTGAAAATGGGGTAAGTAATAGTGAATTAAATTGAAAAATTTTAATTGCTTTTTATAGGTACTAATGAATTGGGGTTATAATTTATTTTTAAAGAATTAATTTTGGGGTAGTGCTAACCGAAAACAATAAAACAGCCAATTATTTTACCAGCAAAACAAGTTTATTTGGGAACGGTGAAGAATTGCAATTCAGGACCCGCAGCTCTGGACAACCACATCCCAGTCCTCTAAAGCAAAAGGAAACTCTTTTTTAGAGGAGAAGGGGAAGTTGGGAGGGGCCGCTGTCAACAAAAAGTCTGTTGGAGGAACCTGGGAGTTTGAAGTATGGTGGCTTTACATTGGCTGAATTGTTGTCAGGCAAAGAGGAGATTGTTCTTCCTGCTGCTGGTGGCAGTAGAATGGTGTTACTTCCTCTGGGGATGCACAGTACATCTCTTCCTGTTGGGATCTGCACCAGTGTCTAGTGGTATGTGTGTGAGAGCTCCCCATTGTGGCTTCCCAACTTCATTTTCCTGAGGTTGCCCTTTATTTTCACAGAAGTTGTCATTTCTGTTGAATATTTCAAACATTTTTATGAAGTTATAAAGTGGCAGTCACTTGAGTGGTAATGGTTTTATCAGTCCATACCATGGCCCATGCACTGGATGGTCTCAAGCAGAGCAGTGCTCTCCATGCCCGTTACATGTTGCCGCCCACAGCATGTCCTGGAGCAGCAGCTGCATGTGTGCCTCTGTGCTCATGACAATGGCCTGTCTCCAGGAAGCAAATGGTCTAGTCTCTAGACTAAGAGATGGACAGGCAGACTTGCTTTGTATCTTCAGTGTTGATGTCTTGATCCTTCTGTCAGGTCTTAAAAGACAAAGTGGCTGGTGGGTTGAAGTCTTCATAGGTGCCTCCAGGAAAGAGAACTTCCTTTATCATATGGTGTAGAGTTGGAGCATAGGCCTAACATTGATATAGGTGAGGAATTTTGTCTAAGTAGAAGCGTTCTTTTTTTTTCTTCTTTTTAAATATTTATTTATTTTATCTGGTTGCATCGGGTCTTCGTTGCAGCAGGTGGGCTCCTTTGTGACTTGCAGGCTCCTTTGTTGTGGCACATGGGCTCCTTAGCTGTGGCATGCGTGTGGAATCTAGTTTCCTGACCAGGGATTGAACCTGGCCCCCTGCATTGGGAGCACTGAGTCTTATCCACTGCGCCACCAGGGAAGTCCTAAAGGGTTCTTTTTAAGAAATACATGTTAAAAGAATGAGCAGAAATGAATGAATGAGGGTGAATGAATGAGAGAAGGAAGAATGAGAAATTTTCACCATGGTCTTTTCTGGAAGTTTTAGTAATAAGTTTTCCAAATAATTTTCAGGCTGGAGAATTAGTTTCTTTTTCTGGCTCTGCCACTAACTAGGTGTGTAGCCTTGGGCGGGTCACCCCCTGGCATGTGCTTGGCACAGCTATACACTGGAAAAAGCACCGGCCTGGAGTGCGGAGGGCCCACGCTCAGACACGGCTTCAGAACTTTCTAACAAGCTAAGTCTGAGCAAGTTACTTTGCCTCTGTACTTTCCAACTCGCTATTATTGATTTCCGATTTTATTTTTTTTATTGGCTACCATTGTGACTTTAAATGATATACTTAAGTCTCTATTTCTTTGTATGATAAACTTTAAACCATGTCTCTGGACCTCCCTTCTTGTAAGATGAGAGTATTAGCACCCCCTCCCTTTTCTGCGTCTCCCCTTCCCTCCTGTCCTACCTTCCAGCTTTTTCAGCTGTACTTTTCTTTTTTTTTTTTTTTTTTTTTTTTTTTTTTGT